TACAATGCACCACAACCTGGAGTTATTTGGAGTTATTTTACCAAAAAATATAATTGATTTTATCATCCGGTCTAAGTTACCCCAAGAGCTGGGGTAACAAAGACCACCACTTTTTTTTTAAATTACATAAAGACTATGAAAGGCAGAAGCCAGCAATTTCTGGTGAGTGAAGCTAGAGTATAGACCTGTATTTTGCATGTTTCAATTCAAGTTTAATTTTGCTAGTAAAAAAATGGCATCATTTCTAAAAAAAAAGTGGTCTAAGTTACCCCATTTTACGGTACCTAAATATAATCAATATTCTTTGTTGTCAATTTGTTTTTTGTTAATTGGAGCTTTTGCTAACCAAGGTTCTACTGTAAATGCATTTTTAGGGGTGTTTCTTATTATTTATTAACCTGGAGGGGGGGTGTCCCTTATTACCACGTCTTGCAGAAATGGCTGCAATTTTTTGGGGGGTGAGCTAGGGTAAACACACCATATTCTGACGCTTTGAGGACAGCAAGAAATGAATGGCTATGAAAAGATCACCGTATGCGCAACTCGAGTTCTGATTGCTCTACGTCACTCTCAGTGATCACACCATGCGCCAGCAATGATGAAACGTCAGAAACTGCTAACTTATTTATTTAAAAGCCTTTAATATTCAAATCTGCAAAATTGCTGAATTCCGATGCTGTGTGACTAAATTCGGCGTATTGTGAGACTAATTCCGACATCACAGAAATGCTCTGCATGATGTCCGTATAGAGGCGTAGACTTGCGGATAGAGCGCTTCAAAACCATAATTTGTTATTCCGATGCCCTGTGTTTGAATTCTGATGCTCTGTGTGAGCTGTATCAGAATACGACCCAGCTCGGAACAAGCTATGTGTGTCTAATTCCGAGCTGTATCAGAATTAGTTTTTATGTGTCTGAAACAGTCTCTCAACTTAATCATCTGTTGATTTATTTGCCACTTAAAATCAGCAAATACAAGTATACATAAAGGATTCCCAATATATTCACAGACCTATTTAAAAGTCTCAAACCATAATATTCTTTCTACACCACCACTTTATCACTATTTGGTAGAGCAAGGTCAACTATCAACTTTGACACGTTTTTTGATGTTCTCACTAGGTGACGTGGACATTTGCTCTGAGGATCTTAACATTTTCCAGCCAGACCTAGTGTTTTGCGGAAATCTGGCGCTCAATAGTGTGACGTCACTATTTCAATCATCTACGCGTGCGTGGAACTAAGACAAAGCCTAATATAAAGGAAAAAGTTGAGAAATATTGGAATTACCCACGATGTCGTAATGTGGTGCATTTACCCATTGCAAATTCTGATAGTCATGTTTTTAAGCCAATACATATGTACCTACATCTTTTGTACCGTAAAATGGGGTAACTTAGACCAGCGGGGTAACTTAGACCACTTTTCGTTTTTTTAACAAAAACCCCCACAACTCAAAAACTATTTGACATAGAAAAATTTTGTCAATGTCAATGCGCCTCTATACATAATATAAATCACTTCTCCTGTTCAGTTTGTGTACTTACATACATTAAAATACGATTTTTCAAGTGTACGAATATTTATTTCCCCCCACTGTATGTGTGTCTAATTCCGAGCTGTATGGGAATTAGTTTTTATGTTTCTAAAACAGTGTCTTAACTTAATCATCTGTTGATTTATTTGCCACTTAAATCAGCAAATACAAGTATACATAAAGGATTCCAAATATATTCACAGACCTATTTAAAAGTCTCAAACCATAATATTCTTTCTTCACAAACACTTTATCACTATTTGGTAGAGCAAGGTCAACTATCAACTTTGACATGTTTTTTGATGTTCTCACTAGGTGACGTGGACTTTTGCTCTGAGGATCTTAACATTTTCCAGCCAGACCTAGTGTTTTCCGGAAATCTGGCGCGCAATAGTATGACGTCACTATTTCAACCATCTACAAGTGCGTGGAAATAAGTCAAAGCTTAATATCAATAAAAAAGCTGAGAAATATTGGAATTACCCACAATGTTGTAATGTGGTGCATTTACCCTATGCAAATTCTGGTAGTCATGTTTTTAAGCCAATACATATGTACCGGTACATCTTTTGTAAGTAAAATTTTTTAATATGGCAAATACTTCTTTTCATTACAGACCATAGCAGAGGTACTCTTCCAAAATCTCACTTTTCACACTTTTTTCAGGAATTTTTTAGAGGTAGTAAATGACTGAATGTATGATTTACTAACTTGCTTTATGCTACACAGGTAGGAAAAATGTTGAACTTCATGCAACTAGTTTTAGTTTTGCAATAGGTACTTCAATTAGTTTAGTTGCTACAACAGTTCTACGAAATGTGTGACAACTGTCCCTATACCCTGTCCGTCCCTTATTACCTTTTTGATGTGAATGTATGGATATGATAATATCATATCAATAAAAAAACGATTACAAATCACTGAAAATGTCATTTATTCTACATCTACAGCATTTACAAAGGAAGAGGAGGACTTCATAGTACTGTTTATAATCGATGAGTACACCATGCATGCTTCAAACGTTTAAAAATTATGTTTTATTCCAAGTGTTTCTAATTACCCCATCCCCAGGGGTAATTAGGGACACTTTTATTTTGCATCTGGCTCCTTACAAATAGCATATGAAATTTTATTAGACATGCCATACAATAGACCTTGCAATGGCCTTTAAAATGAGCGCAAAATTATTTATGAAATGTTTAGTGTAAGAAGTTATTAACAAAAAAACCATCCCTTATTACCCCGTTTGATGGTATATGTATAGAAAGTTATGTGCAGGATCACGGTTCATGGGTGGATCACTTGAGCGGCAACTTGTGTAGGTACCGTAAAATGGGGTATCTTAGACCACTTTTTTTTCATAAATGATGCCATTTTTTTACTAGCCAAATTAAACTTGAATTGAAACATGCAAAATAGGTACAGGTCTATACTCTAGCTTCTCTCACCATAAATTGCTGGCTCCTGCCTCTCATAGTCTTTATGTAATTNTTGATTTTTGAAATTATTAATTATTCCTGAGATGCTCATAAGTAGTTTAAACCAAGTTGGGAGATTCACTCCCAAAGAAATGTGCCTTAGTACTGCCAAAAATAGTTCAAGTTATAGATGCTTGCAAAATTATCTGCCCATCTTTTTTGAAAATAATGTACAGCGGCATGTATGCTCATCAGCCTGCCATGCAGCTAATACAAAACAGTTTGATGATGATCCAGATTTCAATATTGACTTTGAGAATGAGCTAAACTGGCTAAAAGATCGCATAGCCATGTCAACACAGAGCAAACCTCAAACAGACCATCCAAACCTCAATGAAAACTCTGATGAGCATTGGTAAGTGATACAGTACCGGTATTCATCATCTTTTTATAGCTGCCTATATGCTTAGAAGCTCTCTGATGGCAAGTGCTGACACAATTGTCTTCATTGCTCTTAGGTATAATTTAGAACTTGCTGCTAATTTTATTTTTTTTTAAGATTGAAATTTCAACTTTTCAGGAGAGCCAAAAAATTGAAATTGGTTATCATTGAAGGTATAGGTTATACTTGTGCTTTGACAGCTGTTGTGAATGAACAAATGAATGCACAAGCATAGCTTTGAGCTCTTTAGATGTGCAAATTCTGGACCTTTAAAATGATACCGGGACTCAATACAGGAAAAGACAAAATTTTTATTTATGACCAAGATGCTCCTCTTAAGTGATGTTCCAGAGCACACAATTGTGTCCAGGTTGAATTGAACTGTTTATAATTAGAATTGATGTCCGTTTCTTAATAGCTCAAATCTATGCTTACCTACATGCTAATATGATTAACAAGCCTCCTCCTGGAATAGTCTGGCCACATGTTTTCTGATTTGATGCCTATGAACTAATCTGGTCATATGTGGTTTGTGTTGGTAAACTATCCTTTGATTTAGTTCTCTATGTCAATTATCTTTGTTTCAAAATTCAGGTATCAAACTTATCTATGGAGAGCATTTTTGAATTGACAAAATTATGGTAATTTAATTCCTCAATGCCTCTTATTTGCATGATCTGAACAATGAGGCTGCTTACAAAAATTCTTCCCCATTGTGGACATGTTAATACATATGGCACTAGATATAATTATTCATTTCTTCCTGGCAATAATTTACTACCCAGAAAGGTTTTGAATACATAAAAACTATTGATCATTTTTAAATGGAAGGTCATAAACTGTTTTTTTTATATATGTGTAATCTCAAATTCACTGTTTTTTTTTAACTTCATGCAAGGACTTAATTTGATGCTCATGAAAATGTGCATTATATATATTTTAACTGAAGTATATGTAAATCCACCTAAGTTTTGCCTCCTTTAAATTAACTTGAATGAAATTATTTCATGTTACATGAATGCTGAGTATCATGAATAAGCCTGCAGCAAAATTTTTCATTTGATTGCAATTAATTCAAATTAAATTTTTATTAACCACAAAGTTTTGTACTTCTAAGGAATATGAACCTATCATTCTTGTTAGACTGATGCAAGTGCTGTTCTCTTCATACAGGCTGTGTAAGGACCATGTGGAACATGACGAGACCACCGGGACTCAAAATGCTTCAGAATACGAGTCGAAATTTTTGTCTTATCCTCACTCCAAGTGAGTGTGTCGTCATGCTGTTGTTTTACCTTTGTTTATTGTTTGCAGTAATGCTATGACCTTTATACTGGCAGATGTTGGTCATTGTGATGGTTATCATTTTATTTTCAGCTGTGTTCATGATATATCATTATGATTTTTATCATTTTTCTTTTCAACAGTTTTCATGATGTATCATTGTTCATGATGGAAAATGATAGCAAGATCTATTTTATTCAGCTTAAACAGATGAAAATGCAAAATTTAATAAGAAATTGGAAAACAAATCCTGCAGTGAAATGCTTAACGCTTTGACTGTAAAATGGTACATATGGAAACCATTTCATACCTGTAAAGAAAAGAAATCAAAAGTAAGACTTGACAATGCAAGCTTTTCACCTAAACATTTGGTGGAAGCATAAATGTTATATTTTAGCTCAAAAAAATTATCCTGTAGGGAAAATTCATGCATTGCTAGAAGGAACTTGACTAGCTTTCTTCTCTCAAGCTTTTCTTTTAAATTATTCAAGTATCCCTTTTGTTTAAAATCTGCTGACTATCATTCCAGAATTTGTAGATATTAATTACATAAATATAACTGGCCAGAAGAAATAAATTGACAAATTGTGCTTCTAAATACCTATATTATGTAAATTCTTTACAACATCTGGTTTCTGTTCACCAAGTTTACTTGCTGTACAGTGTACACATATGATCTATGTTATTGAAATATTTATTTAAATAAGAGAGTTAATGGTAGCTTTTAGAACCATATGGCTTGTGTCTGCTTGCAAGCGCTAACTTGATTTTGTTTTGCTGAGTTCAATTTTATGTCACTTCAATTGTTTCTTAAAAGTTTCAGATTTGCATGGTTGTTCAAAATTAAATTTACTTGTACTGATAGTTGCAATTTGCTAGTTAAGGATTCCTGCCTAAAAGTTATTTTGATTACATTTGTTTTTAAGGTTTTCATTGAACTTACTGCAAGCTTATGACCCTCGAGCTTGTCTCCCCTCTGTGTTTCATTAAACCACCAAAAACAATTAGCACATGATTTTTCCATAAAATTTTGATTACGTTGTCCTTGGCTAATTTAAAGATCTCTACCAAATGTCAAAGATATAATTTTTACTTGATTCATAAAGCCTCTCTTGCGCTGAGATCATTAAGCAGGATTTCATCAGTACTGGAAATACAAGTTCTTGAGTTTGCAGTTGAATCAGCCTTTTTTTTTTAGAATCAGTTCATTTTTAATTTCCTCATTTACCCAAGATTTAAACCAATTTCTTATGTAAGGTAATGCTGGTATCCATGATACTTTACTGGTCTACTCATTGGACTCAAAAATGAACTTGAGGGAGGGTCTAAAAAACTCTCTGCTTTGCCACTATGAATCAGAGACGCAGGCTCACGTGATGCTATACTGACAGATGCATCTGTGAAGGATGAATGCTGAGATCACAGCTTTTTTCACACACTGTTTTCCCCATAAAAATCTTTATAACATTTTTTTATTTAAAAAGTAACGTTTTGCCACGGAGCAAAGAGATTATTTCTGTTTCAATTTCTTTTCAGCTGGGGTCCTATTCCTACTGGTAAACATCTGTTTGTTCCACGCCTTACTGCAGACGTAAGTGTGAACCACTTCTATCAAAACGCTATCTCAAATCAAAATTAGAGTTACAAAATAAATTTAGCTACTGAATGTATTATTCTTTTATATTCAATTCCTTCATTAAGCCAACTTTTATATTTCTATTGGCTTTCTAATAGCTTTTTTGCAATTTTCCAGGTTGCCGTGGAGCTGCTCACTTGTGAACTAAGTGAAATACTCAAGTAAGTTCATCTTCAGAATAGAGTTTGCATTTTCTTCTCTTGAATATTCAACAGCACTGTATCATTACCACAACAGCGCTGTATCATTACCACAACAGCGCTGTATCATTACCACAACAGCGCTGTATCATTACCACAACAAACGTGTGTTGGTGTAGGCTTTTGTCTGATGCTTCTAAGGATCCAGAGGCCTTGTTTCTTACATCAGATATTCTTGTCCATTGATTTTATCCTTGCGTGATGAACTTAACAGAGTTTCCTTCATAAAACTGTAACCTTGTGAATTGGGAAATTTATTTCTCTTGGATCACTTTGTTGAAATTTTAAAGAGTAAAGTGTAATGTTTATTTAGCTCCTACCCTTTTAACAATTATGTATATATACGTACATCCTGCTCATTTTAATTGAAGATTTTGGAATTTAGGACATTTTAAATTTTTTTTTTATTTATATATCACTTACGTAAATAGAATTTCAATTTATTTATTCAATTGACAATTATTTATTGGTGTTCAATTATAATTGTTCATGTTAAAGAAAGCTAGTATATGGTTTATTAAATTCATCTGTGCAAGAGGCAATACCTATAATGAAATAAGAGAAAGAAAGACTTTGTATCAGTTGCCATTTTCTTCCAATTTCCCAAGATCTGATCTCTTGGTCCTCATCAGGCTCATCCTAAATTGTGGGTCCAATATATACCTGCTCTCATAAGTATTAAAATCACTTGACTGCTTAAATCGCAAGTTTATCAAAAATTTAAAAGCAAAGAAAATAGCCTAGTTTATCAATATAGTTGTGCGCTATGCGCATCTGCATATGTCGGTATGACATCTCGCAACTTTTATACTAGGCTGGCGGAGCATAAAGGAAGGAGTTTTAGAACAGGAAACCTGCTTGCTCATCCCCCTCANTTGACCTCATGTGGGTCATCCTGAGCCACTTTGGCATGGTAAGAGGGTAAATTATTGATATATCTGCTTTTTGCTTATGCCTTGGGTGAGAAAGTGTGTTAATGTTTGGACAATATAACTAGGTATTTCATTTTTGGATATTGATATATGATATGCAGATGTATGGCATTACAGTACCGTATTTCAGATGAACAGGCAAGAAAAATTAGTGCCAGAGAAGCACTACGGTACTGTATATTACTTATAAGTATGAAACTTCTGAACTTTTTTCTGCCATCCATATTCTTTAGTCTCACATACATGAGCTCTATTTGATTTTCCTTTAAACTTAATTTACTACAACTCATACAACCCACAAATGTAAAATTTTACAATCGATAGAAAGTGATTTGGGACCTATTACATTTAGTTTATAATACAACTTGATTTTAATTTTGGTTCTCCACCATTCAGAGCACCAGGGCGATCGTGAGCAATGCCGTGGCCACAGCGCATGCCTTGCTGAGAGAAGGCATTGGAAGCACCGACTTGCATAGCACCCCGGAGCTCATACGAGTGCCTGCTTGTGAGTGTATAGCACCCCAGAGCTCATACGAGTGCCTGCTTGTGAGTGTATAGCACCCTGCTGCTCATACGAGTGTTTGCTTGTGAGTGTACCGTACAGTAGATGTGGCTAGTCAGTGCTTGACAGTACTACTTCCAAATCTTCAGCTCTACCATTTACCTCACTTTTGGCCTCGTATAGTATAGGCGCTACTGTCCATGGAGCCCCCAGTAGCCATCTAAACTAGGCCACTGGCACGAAAATTGGTCACAATTTGAAAAGTGGTGCTTTTGCCAGTACTGTCCCTTGTACATGTTGCTCATTTACTTGTCCTGTGCGATTACATGTACTACAGTCCCGACGTTATGTTGCTCCCTCAGTGTCAGTTGGGCCGCGGCTGAAGCTGGTGCAGCAGCCGCGGCTGTTTCCTTCGTTGCGGGAGGGCGCTCCGCTGCTGCTGGCGTCTGAGGCATCCCTGGAGCAGGCGCTGCAGCAATGCGACAAGGACGCGCCCTTCGTGCCGTGCCACACCAACAGACTCAGCTTCCTGGCACACGTCCTCAAGGTGCTACTTTAGGTTGCAGTTGTATTTATGCTTCAGGTGGTATTTGTGCATCAGGCGGTTGAGGTGTTATTTGTGCTGTTGTTCTAAATTTTCCTAAAAATAGTGTAATATTTGGTATTAGATTCTAGATATATTGTGATATTTAGTACCTATTGGATATAGTGTGTTATTCAGTATAACTCAGTGACGTGATGTTGACAGATGGACGTGGCGACGGTGTGCGGCAGTGCCGCCAACGTCGGACTGACGCGCATTTTCTCTCACGACCTCGTCCGCCTTGCGAGAAATGTGGACGCCTTCAACTGTTAGTTGCGCCTGTGTTCCTCTTATATAATTTAGATGTTTGTGTTTCTCTTCCGTATTCTGCGCAATTGTGTTTCTCTTTCACAATCTGCGCATTTGTTTTTCTTCTATTTTCTGCACGTTTGTGCTTCTCTTCCATGCTATACTGGACTGTCATTAGTCTTATTACCTTGCCTCTGTTCCTACACCATGTGTAGAGCTGTCATTATGGGGCAGCCCTGGGCAGGGTGGCCCAGTGGTTACAGTTCAGAGTACCAGAATTGGCGCAGAGAGGCGCGGGTTCGAACCCAGCTCTGTGCGCCAGTTTCTGGTCAGAATCAGCAAGGAGGCCGGGCGGTTAAGCACAGCAAAATAAGAGCAGTGAGTTGCGAGTTCGAGACCGCAACAAGCTTTGGATGTTCTGTGATGTTAAGAATCGGCGACAGGCCTACGGCCTACTAAACGCTAAAACCGCTATTATTATTATTATAGTCTTCCTGCCGTCCCTCGGTTTCTGATGTGCAAAACTTTTCTTATAATCGTGTTGCGCTAATTTATTTACCATTTATATTATTTTCTACACCGTAATTATGATAAAGATTGAATATTACCGTATGATTTATAAGTGAAGCACACTCTCATAGAAATACAATACAATCGCGACCACGTGGAGCAGGCTCACAAATAATCATTGCGAATTCTGTAATTATTGTATAGGTATTTACACCAATCAGGGAATAGGTATGCAATTATTACAGAAAGAGGTAAGAAACTATTAAGAATGTAACTGATTAGACAAAGCGAGCTTCTTGGTGTGTTACTGCGAGGTTCTTGTACAGTTACTGCAAAGCGATGTTCGTCATATACGTATGCATATTTTTTTCTTTTAACTTGCACATTTGTATAAGTTATGTATATTGTTTTCATCAATAAGGAGGCCGGGCGGTTAAGCACAGCAGAATTGTAGCAGTGGGTTGCGAGTTCGAGACCGCAAAATGCTGTGAATGTTCTGCGATGTTGAGGATCGGCGACAGGCCTACGGCCTAATAAACGCTGAAACCGCTATTATTATCATCATTATTATAGTCTTCCTGCCGTCCCTCTGTTTCTGATATGCAATAATTTTCTTAAAATTGTGTTGCGCGAATTTATTTACCATTATATTATTTTTAACACCATAATTATGATAGAGATTGAATATTATGATTTCTAAGTTAAACACCCTCTCATAGATATATAGAATGCAATCGCGACCACGTGGAGCAGGCTCAGAAATAATCATTGTGAAGCGTGTTATTGTGAAGTTATTTACACCATCAGTGAATAGGGATACTATTGTTACAAATAGAAGTAAGAAAATAGTAAGAAACTATTAAGAATGGAACTGATTAGATAAAGCGAGATTCTTGGTGTTTTACTGCAAAGCGATGTACGGCAAATACGTATACATATTTTTTGTTTTAACTTGTATATTTGTATACGTTATGTATATTGGTTTTCATCAACTTGCACATATGCTTGTCATGGAGATTCATTCGTTTCCATAAACTTGCACGTTGGAAAGGATGCAACGACTTCATAACATCTCCTGCAATTGTCTGTATTTCAGAGTAAATGGGTTGTGCGAACTGCGAATGATCATTAATTGTTCAGTAATAGACCATGAAAACCGGGCGTGCTAAAACTTTGATGACGCCATTATCGTTTTCAGGCTACACAAATTACAGGATCTGGGTTCATTTTTAGAAACTCTTCAGATAATTCAAGCTTAACCAACTCCGTTTGTCCAGTGATGTGGACTAAAGGATGGTTTAATTCGTTTAACTATTTCTTGTTTACTTGAATCATAATTCCTTTCAACTTAGAACGGCCGAGCTTTATTCAAGAGGTTCATTTTTCTGTGCACAGATTTTTGCTTGTCCACGCAATAGCTTAAGCTGCCATTGTTGGTTTGTTTTCAAAATAATACCTTTTAATTTACGCATTATTTTGGTTTCATTTTTTGCTGCCTCTGCAATGCATTATCAACGCCACTTTATTTTAAACTTTTCGACTTCACTGCCTGAACTGTTCTCATTTCAATTCTGCTCTGCTGATCTTAATTCTTTTTGCAGACTACCGCATCCCGCGACCGGACATCAAGGTCCACTTCGACGCTCTGCTCTACCCCATCGACAAGATTGAAAGCCGGTTGGCCGCCATAGCGATTGCCCAGAACAGTCCAGAGGTGCTGTCCGCACTCCGAGCCTCTGCGTCGCTCACCAACTCCTCGTGTGACCAGCTACACCGAACTCTACGGGAACAAGCAAGAACTGCCACCTCAGATCCTGCTCATACGTTGGCCAGCTTGCTTCAAGATTCAACAAGGGAAGAAAATATTTCAATTAGTACCGAGTGTTCTGACTCGTCACCACCGCTTGTGTCAGCTACAGTAGCCGCATCTGGAGCGGAGAATAATGTTGATGATGCTGACAGAGTGAAAAATGAATTGGACGCTTCTGGCGAAGACAGTCATGTGTTGGATTTGCTGAAGAATTACGTACCACCAGTGCTCTACCTCACCATCAGCTCCCAGTTTGTATTCGAGAGGTTGGTGCTGCTATTTATGTTGTCATTCTCTGTGGCTGGTGCTGCTTTCACTCTGCAGTTGGTCAATGTCCGGCTGGATTGTCGTGTATGATTGAAGAGGTTGCAAATGCACGATGAAATTTTGCCTTTTTTCCATTCGGTGCAATCAATATCCATATTGAAAATAATCAAGATTAATTACAAAATGAAGCGACACCCATTTGTTACAAGTATCGAAACTCAAATTTTCTATTTAATTCTGACTTGTGCGAGAGTAATGTCCCCATGCATGTACATGTAAATAATCATCACATAATAGATGAATACGTGAATAATAAATAATACTTATAAGGCATACGGAGCCTAACCATAATTTTTATTTGTACAGGTACTTATACTCGAAGAGGAAGCCCCGGCGCTGGCGATGATCGTGAGAACATGTCATTTGATGTGCCAACAGTTGCATACATGTAAATGGTATTATTCCTGAAGGAAACCATCAGTCATATAACTAGTAAAATTATTTGAAGTACCGGTAACTATTATAGGATTCACTGCGAACATCATGATTATGGTGTATACAGGGAGAAGGGAGACAGGATAATAAAACGCTATCAATTGATCAGTCTTCATCAGTAACAAGTATCAACTATATTCTCGCAAACGAACGTATATATAGTTGTTGAAATTTATACCCACATCTCCACATATTACGAACGTTGATGAATGGAATTGCATAATCAATTATTTAGTAGCCCTGCTGGGAAATCTCTCTAACTAGTTACAATAGTTCACAGTTTAACAATTAACGATCACAGAGCGGATTCGTCCACCTCACAAATAATGTACCATGATATTGTATAAAAGGTAAAAAAGTGGCAAGTTATTTTTTCATTTTACTAAAGTTGGGCGCGGAAACTTTAACTTTTCCGGGAACGTTCTTGGCGAGGTCAGAGTCGCGGACGGCTCTGATGAGGTCCGCCTCTCGCGCCACCTGCGGCTTGGCTGCCAGGAACAGCGACACGGCGGACTTGCAGGCTTTGCCCTTCTTGCCCGTCCCTGGCGTCAGCTTCACCTTGTACCTGAGCACGAATCTTGTGTAATTATTTCCTCAAATTTCTGATTTTATTATAAATGTCATCCTTTCAATAGTTTCCAGTCTGAATAAATCATACGGAGATTTCGACTGTCGACACCGGCTTACATCGATTCTGTGTCTATACACCGGCTTGTATTAAATGGTAAAATAAATGCATATTCTGATTTCATTATAAATGTCATCCTTCAAATAGTTTCCTGTCTTATTATTATCGATCATACGGAGATTTTGACTGGCTTGCATCGCTGTCTATACACCGGCTTGTATTGAATGGTAAAATAAATGCATATTTCTGATTTTATTATAAATGTCATCCTTTAAATAGTTTCCTGTCTGAATAAATCATACAGAGATTTCGACTGTCGACACCGGCTTACATCGATTCTGTGTCTATACACCGGCTTGTATTAAATGGTAAAATAAATGCATATTCTGATTTCATTATAAATGTCATCCTTCAAATAGTTTCCTGTCTTATTATTATCGATCATACGGAGATTTTGACTGGCTTGCATCGACTTGGTGTCTATAGACAGGCTTGTATTAAATGGTAAAATAAATGATCTGTGTAATTATTTAGTACTCATATTTCTGATTTCATTATAAATGTCATCCTTTAAATAGTTTCCTGTCTTATTATTATCGATCATACGGAGATTTTGACTGACTTGCATCGCTGTCTATACACCGGCTTGTATTAAATGGTAAAATAAATGCATTGTACACAGACTTGTAATTGGTGAGAGCGGCGTAGGGGGCACACACAGGCACGCAGTACAGCAGCTCGTCCTCCGCCACTGGCTGGCCGGTCAGGGCGTTCAGGATGGCCAGGTCGTCCCCCACCTGCATGGAGAGCGACTTTATTACAGTATCTCAAGAATGAAATTTAATACATGCATAACGGTAGTACAAGCACCGCTATGCCTAAAGAGCGCATGGAGATTTTGTACATTTTCGAATGCCAGTCGCTGCTGCTGTTTCTTAGCTTTCTTCCCTTTAACGCGCTTAGGTTCTTTTTTCGGGCCATCGGACTGATGAAACAATGCGAACCAATCAATGAATACACGATACAAATTCTATTTTGTTTAACATTATCATTTGACGTCTCGTGAGATAAGAAGAATTCTACTGTTACCATCACGTTCGACTAAATACAGTACCTATTTAGCACTCATAATTCCACTCACGGTACTCTTCAATAAACGTTACACTCTTACATTTAGGTCTCCCGTCACACGTAGAATTCTATTAAAAATTAAAAAACCAGTCATGGTGGTTTAAAATGTTAAATACATGGAAAATAAATATTGTGCAGAAATATTCAAATTTTCATGATTCAGTCAAGTTGTACATCAAAAGTATCTTCCAATATCGCAACGTGAATTTGCACGTGCAAACAGAATACTCAAAGCTCCTTTTTTATAGAGCATATATACTAAACGTATTGAACAGCAGAAGTCAGAGCTTCGAATTTATAGTGAAGAGTAATAGGCAGAAAATAATGCTAAATTCTTACTTTGAGAAGCTCCATCATGAGCTGTCGCTCTTCGTCATCCTGGTCCTTGTATTTTGTTTTAATTTTCTTCAGTTTGCTTCTCTGGCCGCGTTTAAGAGGGCCTTTGGCTCCATCACTGCTGTGGGCAGGCAGGTCGTCGGCCGCGTCAGGGTCTTTGTTGAGGTCTTTAGCCGTCGTCTGCTTGCCTCCTTTACTCTTACTGCCTGCCCACAAACCCGAACACGTATTTAACTGAACACATTTGGTTAAGTATAATATATCTGAGCATATATTAGGCCTTGTCCGCCCATTCGCCGATTCTTAACCTTGGTATTTGTTTCGGACGTACGTAGCAGTCCCAGGCCACGATGGATCGCCGCCTCTTTAGCCAGCCGCTCACTTGGCTGATTTTTACTAGAATTTTCACAACTTGTTGAAGGTCTCGAAGCCTGAACTCGCTACTCCAATCTTAGTGATAATAGTCACTCGGCGACCCACATGCAAGCAAATCAGCGCTAGTACTTAAGTCAAATAACGTGTGTGCAAGCCTCAGCTTCCTCTTTCACCTCAACATAAATATTGGGAAATAACAAATGATCTTCCGTCCCATACCTACATTCCCAACCTTTGCAATGTGTTATCCGTTCTTGGAAGTGCAGCATGAAAGCGTGGGGGCACGAAGGGTCAATAGATAAAATATATTAAGGAATGTTATTCGACTGAGGTACTTAAGTTTCATTCTTCATGTAATTCCCACGGAGCCATTGATGATAA